AACATCTGGAAACTGGAGGACAGAAGAAGAAGAGCTGGGCCTGAAAAACTCTGCAGTCCAGCAGATGAGGAGGATCTGAGAGTGATGAAGAAAGAGGAGCAGATCCAGCTTAGAGCTGACACGTTTCAACACTTCTCTCTATAGTTTTGTTTCGATATTTTTTCTTTATTGCATCAGTGTACTTTAGAGCCCCTGTAATTAGGCTTCTCAGTATAAATCCAGATCCCACAATTACAACCAGTCTATGATTCAGTCCCAGAGTGCACTCTGGCTCACACACACAAGCATTTACATGGACACACACCCTCACCACACAGTGCAGGGACCTGAGGAACATCTGCTTTCTCACTCCCTACTGGAGCACGCTCCCCTTTCAGATTAAAACCTCCCCCTATAAAAGACTCCTTTTCTAAGTGGAGAGAGTTGTGTTTGCAACATTGCTCTCTAGAAACTCAGCTGACCTGTCCACAACACCACCCAGTTAGACACCAGCTAGCATGTGCTCTGCTAAACCTGCAGAGCCTGTTAAAGCTGAGCTGCATGCACCTATCCAGTGGCTGCTTTTAAAGATGGAGACCTAAAGAGGGATACCCAGCCACCAAGCCCGTCTTCTGCTTTATGAAGAGCTCTATTCATGCAGTCATCTCCAATCAAATGTGATGCCCAGCCCACCTTCAGCCTTACAAACGTCTTAACCCGTGTGGGGGCGTAATGAAAGTGGAAACACTGATGCTTTATGCCCCCTTCACCCCATACTTATGCGCATCAGGAGGATGACACATTTATTCCTCAGACATAAAGAAACACATTCCTGGGACGGTTTGTTGTTTTTGCCAACTCTTTGATAAGCCTCTGTGTAATTTTTCCGGCCCCAAACTACTGTTGTCTGCCATGTGAAGTTCCTGGGAGCCTTTTAACTGAGTGCATATGTTCGTGCTTTACGAGTCGCCACCTCCAAATGTAATAGCTCTGGAAGTTCGGGCCAGCTTTATGGCAGCAGGTCTGGCAGCGTGATTACAGCCGAGCCTGGATCCGTTTAGCTGCAGGGCTGCTGAGCTTTACCAGCAAACAATTGATGATTGGCAACACACCGACACGCAGAGTGTGTGTGTGTGTGTGTGTGTGTGAAGGCTCGGTACACTTACAGAGGTGAGCTGTGATGGGCCTAATGTGAGTTTCCTGTCTTTTACGCCTCTGATGATGGAGGCTGTATACCCCAATTACAGCAGAGCCAGCGGCCCCACGGCGGGCGGCTCAGTCTCTGTGGGAGTGGGTGCTACACGCATCAGCAATGGCAGAGAACTGAGCTCACACAGATGATAAAGCCCCGCCTGTTGGGAGGCAAACAACCTTCTCTTGAAGTTCATGGGAAAGCAGTCATCTTTCATGTGTTTTTATTTTTTACAAGAAAAAGGAACAAGAACCAGGTTTAGAGGCATTCATGAACCCCCACCTCTGTGGGTTAGCCTTGTTCTCTTTTTAATGGTATTCTGAAATCAATTTGTTTAAATTGCCTCTATTTAACATGCCCAAGTACAGAGAGCTGAAAGAGATTGCTATCGTCGTAATTACTGAGAATGATTGGGGCCGATTCATTATGCATAAGGGGATGCAAATGTTAGTTTGGGGAGCTATGTGTGTGAGATTGATGGAGGAGATAGAGTGTAGATTTACTTTGCCCAGACCTCCAGTGTGTTCAGGACTGAGCCTTTACTCCGTCCAGTCCAGTATGCCTTCACACAGTAAGTCACTCAGACTGAAGCCTCTGTGTCTCCGGCTCTTCTGTTCCCAGTGTCCCGGTTTTCCAGCCCCCGGCTGACCCCCCGGCTGAGCAGGAAGAGGGCCCTGTCCATCTCCCCGCTGTCCGACGCCAGCATTGACCTGCAGACCATGATCCGGACCTCGCCCAACTCTCTCGTGGCCTACATCAACAACTCGCGCTCCAGCTCGGCGGCCAGCAGCTCCTACGGGCACCTCTCTGTGGGGGGGATCAGGTGTGTGGGGGTCTGTGGGCCAGCCCAGAGCACCGGCACTAACACACAGCTCCCCTGCCTCCTCACATTCCCCTTCACTGTCTGGAACCTGCGTTCATAAGGGGGCCGGCCCGGTGCACTGGTGTGGTAGCACGCATGGCAAACTGGGCTCCAGTTTGGCTCTAACTGGAATCTCCTCTGCCTTCTCCCCAGCCCCACCTTCAGTTTCCCACATCACATCAACCCTGTGGCCTACCAGCAGCTGCTGTCCCAGCAGAGGGGGCTCAACGCCTTTGGCCACACCCCTCCCCTGATCCAGCCATCGCCGTCCTCCTTCTCTGCACGCCAGCACCCCCTCACTGCTTCATCCCTGTCCACGCACAACTCAAACTCAGACACAAACCAGGTAGGAACAGAAGCAGTTTCCCACCACAGAGTCTGATCGCTTTGGTTTGGGGAGGACAACTCCCACTGCCTTAAAAGAACCTAACACTGGCCTCAGAGCAGATGTTTTTCCTCATCACTAGTTAAAGGGTTCCTGGTTCCAATCCGACCAAAGCTCAGAGAAGATAAGAAAAATGAACAAACTGGATATACAGACCAGGAAAAAAGGGAGTCAGAGAGGTGACAATGAGGAGCTGAGGGCCGAGAAGACAAAGATCAGGAGGTCAGGCGAAGATCTGAGCCAGAGGGATAGGACCTGGAGTGCTCAGATACAGAGGTGGGGGTCAGCACTTGAAGGCAGCTGAGGACAGGAAGTGGAGGGGAAGGGAGCAGAGCTGGTGACCAGCATCCAGCATGCTGAAGCACCGGTGGAGGAGATACCAAAGAGGGGACAGGAAACAGAACACGCAGAAAGAGAGAAACTAAAGGCAGAAAGATTACTGAAACTAGAACCAAGGAGCAGAACCATCACATTTTCAGGATAAACTATCCAAAGGACCGGCTACCTCCAACTCATTTCAGAGGGGCGGGGCTCTTTTTCTTTGTTTTCCCAGTCAGTCCCCACTTTGTTTTCTCCTCTTAAACTTTGAAACAGCTTGTACTCCTCCAGCTGGAGAAGGTGGACTTCCTGGTGGGGCCTGGCTGACATGTTTCAGGCCTGGGCTGCTGCCACCACGCTGTTTCTGTCAGGGCAGAGGCGTCTGCTTCTCCTCTCTTTATCAGCCCTCTGTACACACTCCACACTCTGCTAACGTAAACCTCCAGTGGGGTGAATCCCTCCGCCCCAGCCCCTGGCCCGTTTCAGCCCCGGGCCCGTTTCAGCCCCGGGCCCGGCTCAGCCCTGGCTCAGCCCCGGGCCCGTTTCAGCCCTGGGCCTGGATCACCACAGCCCCCGGATAGCAGCAGGCTCCTCCGGCTGGAGGAGGGACGACCCCCACATCTATGCAGCCTTATTAACCCTGATCAGAACCATATTTCACTTTGGGTTTGCAGCCAGCTGAAGTGCCTGGGTGGGATTACAGGACCCCCATCCCACGTTGGATCTTCTCCAATAAACCTCAGAGTCCACACAACGCTCATTCATATCTCGGCTTTACTTTCCCTTCCATCTGAGTTTTAACAGGCTTTCTGAGCCTTTGTCCTTCCCCACTGTACAGAATCAGCCGGCAGATCAAAGCACCCCCCCTCCCAGAGTCCCAACCCTGGCTCTGTTCCAGTGTGTAACAAGCGCTATAACTCTTCTGCTTTCATATTTCCGTGCAGCTTTGGTGACGGTGGAGCAGTCTAAACTGTTTAGTCTGGGCGGCGGGTCCCGCTCTGACTTATGGAGCCTGGCACAATCAGGATTCTTTGTAGCTGTCGTAAAAAATGATAACACAAAGTATTAGTTTATGGGCCTCCCCCTGTGCAACAGCCGTGCAGCTGGAAAGAGATGTTTTAATTGTTTCTGCTGCCTAAATGAGGGGGGGGTGAGAGAGGGAGCTGAGGCCTGAACGGTTAGCCGACACATTTATCTGGATCGGGGGGGCAGATTTAATGCTGACCAACGTTGTTTTCTGCCCCCCTTTCTGGTTTAGAAGGGAAGTCCTCCTCACCACTGATTCATCTAAGCCTGTGTTCTTCCTTTGTTCAGAATGCCAGTGGAGACCCGGCAGTCACCAGTACAGTCAATCCACTGACCACCAAGAGGACAAAGGTCAAGACCGAAGCAGAAGGGCCGCTGCCCATTTCACCTACTTGCCAGGTAAAGGGATAAACAATAGCCAGATTAACTCAGAGAGCCAGTCTACACTCTGCATCAACAACTGAATGAGCCCCCAAATCCCAAACAGAGAGCAGCTGTCTCCACACAGGGCTCTTTGGAAAAGATTCATCTGTCCTCAGCATACAGTTTGAGACATCTTGTGTCTGGTCCAGTTGAAAGGCTCCATGTCTCTGTGCCTGTTTGCCCTCCTGACAGGACCATGGTGGGGGCATCCTGGACCTGAGCGAGGATCTAGATAAAGACGAGTGCAAGCAGGAGCCGGAGGCCGTATATGAGACCAACTGCCACTGGGAGGGCTGCTCCAGGGAGTACGACACCCAGGACCAGCTTGTGCACGTGGGTGTCATGTGTTGCTGTTTTGTTGTCGTCCCTCTGGGGGGGTAGAGGACAGAAGCGACGGCAGCTCCACACAGAACTGGGGCTTTTTATTCCTCAGCCTGCTCTGAACGAGGCGGTCAGAGCTCCTGCATTAAGCCGCTGTAAAAGGGGAAACACTTGTGTTAGTCATTAAATGGGAGCTGATTGAGTCTGGACAGGAAGTGGTCCAGTGAGCGATCCCTTCCTGTTGGTGGACAGCGTTAATGAGCCTGGGGGCTGTGCAGGATTCAAACCCGTGCCCTGCAGCTGTGCCACTCCACCCGACAAACCTCTCAGCCCCTGACCTCTAACCTCTAACCTCCGGCTCCCAGCTGCCCCCCCAGCCCCCGAAGCCCATAGAGGGGGCTATAAATCCATCATCGGGCCGGCTACCCTGGTGTTACAGAGCCCTAAGTTTCCCCGTGTCAGGACGGCTTCTCTTCCTGTTTCCCAGCCCGCCCTGGCCTCAGCCAGTGGCAGCCAGTGTCACCGTAGACCAGCCGGGGGGGCAACAGCCGGCCGGGGGGGCTCCCAGGAGCTGGGACCTCCAAACAACACATTTGTGGTGCCCCAGCTGCTTTGGGCTCTTAATGTGTTTCTCACAGGAAGTCTCTTTTTTTAAGTTTCCACTTTCTGCTACCAAAACTGTATTTTTCTGGGGCCATAACTGACCCCCCCCCCCCATACGGGTTAACAGGGAGTTCTCACAATATCAGCAGGAGAAACATGCATGCACCTGTTTTTTTGTCTGGTTGCTGCTCCCCCCAAATTATAGCTTGACATTAGTGCGTAATCTGAAAATAGAGACCTCAGCGTGGGTCACACACTTGTTTCCATCCCTCCTCCTGCACCCAGAATAGATCCTGGCTGAACCACAGAGCATTTTTGCTGGTGAGGAAATCACCAGAGGAGTGGAGCCCTGTGGGCTTTGATGTCATCAGAAAATGAAGCAGTTCCTATGGAAGTGTGGACATGCGCTTGTGGAGCTCAGAAAAAGCAAACGTGTCTATTCAGACTGATCCAGAGTTCAGACCTGTCTTATGTCCTCCGGGTTGTTCTGTTTGATTGACACTGACCAGCATTAGACATCTCTTCCATGACCACTCGGAGGACAGAGTTAGGGTCAATACATTGTTTTTCATCTGTTGTTTTGCAATTTACCACACAGTTTGTCTCAACTAAGGTTTCTATTCATAATTTACCACATTTTTGTAAGCTAGGTGATCTCAAAACTCAAGCATAAGATGTAAGTTTTAAGTTGAAGCTTCTCACAGTAGAACACAAAATCCTTCCCCTGATCTGATGGAGGGAAATTCCTTTTTCCACGAGAAAAAAAGTTTTGTCAGGCGCAATAACTGTATTTATAATGTATTTATGGGCTCACGTTGGCATGGACGCACAGCGGGAGAATCTTCTGACTTGTCTGTGGTTACACACACACACACACACACACACACTGGATATCCAGTTAAGTTTTTCTCACGTTTGCAGCTCAGTATCACAAACTAACGCTGAGATAGATTTGGGAGACTGACCATGACTGATTTGTCATCCCAGCACATCAACAATGACCACATTCACGGAGAGAAGAAGGAGTTTGTGTGTCGCTGGGAGGAGTGTTCCCGGGAGCAGAAGCCCTTCAAGGCCCAGTACATGCTGGTGGTGCACATGAGGCGCCACACCGGAGAGAAGCCCCACAAGTGCACAGTAAGAAGCTGCCAAACATTACTGTCCATCCAAGTGATCCCATCCTTCCACGGATCATGTTTGGTGTTATGTGCCAGGTTGCTTTTCTAACTAATGCTGTTTTTTCTCCAACGTCTGTGTTGTGTATCTCCCTTTGAGTTCAATTCAATTCAGTTTTATTTCTATAGCGCCACATCATAACAACAGCAGGTATTTCCCATCTTTCCAACCACAGCAGCTCAGACTCTGAGTTATTTCCAGAAGAACAACAGTTCCCACCAAGAGCAGCACCAGGAGACAGGGAGGGAAAAACTGCCTTTAGGGGGTTAGAAACCTGGAGCACAAGTTCACACACTCTGAGGCCTTCACACTCACACCACTAAGCTGGAGTGGCATTAGCCTGTGGTCAGAGCCCAGCTCAGACCAGCTCAGACCAGGAGCCCCTCCAGGACCTGAAGCCTGTTCAGACTCCACATAGTTCCACACGCAGAGCTTTACAGTTTACGCATTTTGTGCTTTCCTTCCTCACTTCATCCCCTGCCTGTGGTGTCTGTCGCTGCTCTGACCAGGTGCACGTGGGCCGTGCACGGAGTTGATGAGCGCTGAAGTCCAAGTTGTCCTTAAGGGCTGGAGTTCTTGAAACAGAAAAGTTTGAGGGATTCTTTGTGCTTATCAGCAGTGCTAGTTTTCATGTTGATAAATCATGAGGCTCCACTTAAGGCTTCATTTGCTGTGTGAAGATCAAGTTGAGGGTCCGTTTGCATGACTTCAAAGCTCACTCACAGGCTTTTGTGAATGCATTAAAACAGATGACTTGTGAAGACTTAAGAAAGCTGATTGACAGCGTGGCGTGTAATTAAGATCTGCAGACAGGCAGGGGGCCGGGGCTCCTTATTAAGCTCAGGCTATTTATTCTATGCACAAATCCCACGTGTATGTTCTCTTTAGTTCAGATTGGACTTTCACATTTTATCCTGTTTCTAAGATACTGCTTTTTGATTCTCTTTTGATTTCCAAGCCAATTACGCTCACAATGACGGCTCAGTAGGAATACCAATTTCTAGCTTGTACAGTGCAAGTGAACACAAAGGCTAAACAGGGATCTGTCTTTGAGGGGACAAAGAGCAGCTCCCACCTCACACAGAGTGTAGACGTTTCACTTAGAAGTCTTGTTCAGACGTGGGGCTGGGCTGTGAGGAGGTGGGGCTCAGGGCCGGAGTCCAGAACGGCTCCACGGAAAGAGGAGTGTGTCTTTAAATATTCAGCATGTTCAGCCTGGTTTTTTGTCTCTGTCCAGTTTGAGGGCTGCTGCAAAGCCTATTCTCGTCTGGAGAACCTCAAGACCCACCTCAGGTCCCACACCGGGGAGAAGCCGTACGTGTGTGAGCACGAAGGCTGCAACAAGGCCTTTTCCAATGCCTCAGACCGGGCCAAGCACCAGAACCGCACACACTCCAACGAGGTGCCTTCTGAATCCAAATCCGTTCACAATCCAAATTTCTGTGAGATGTCTGAACTTCTCCCTAAATGTGTGGAACTGTTTAAATCCCTGTGGACAGAAACCGTATGTGTGTAAGATCCCGGGCTGCACGAAGCGGTACACAGACCCCAGCTCTCTGAGGAAGCACGTGAAGACCGTCCACGGGCCCGAGGCCCACATCACCAAGAAGCAGCGCGGCGACGCCCCCCCGAGGCCGCCGCCGGCCCGGGGCAGCGGGGAGCACCAGGCCCACTCCAAGCCCGGCTCCAGAGACATGGACGGCCAGGCGGAGAGCAACAGCACATCCACAGGCGCCGAGGACTGCCAGCAGGTCCGCTCCATCAAGACCGAGAACTCCCTGGTGAGTCCAGATAGCTGCAGACCTTCTATAGGCTCCTCCCCAGAAACAGCCCGGCTGTGAGCTCTGTCCACCCTCTGTGACCCCTCTGAACCCTTGCTTGACTTGACTCCTGTCTCTCCTCTAACTCCTGCTTGTGGACAGCCTTCGCTGAGGTGAGCTCGCTGTCCGTTTGCCGCTCAGCATGAGAAGTCTCGTGTCCACCTGTCTGGGCTCCATCCCACATCAGTGCAGTTTGCATGACAGAAACGTGTGCTGTCTGTATGTGTTTATAAGAGCTCTCCCTGGAAGTAGCTTTCTGTGAGCAGTGTTAGAAGCCGCTGCCACATTAATATTGAAGGGCAGAGCCTGTTGTCTCTGAGCAAACACTGCTTACAACAAGCTGTGATCAGACCTTCTCGTTGTGTGAGTAGCTGTCGCCACTGGAATTCTGCTCTCTGAACTCCCAGAATTATCCATTTGTTTTCCTGTTGTAAATAAATCACTCTCATCCATAATGTAGGAGCTCATGAAAGCCAAAGCCCATGTTAGTTATCACAATCGTGTTTTTGAAACTTTTGTAGTAATTTAATATTGAAGAATACTTAATGGGGTTTTCTGAACATGGCTGAGACTGATGTTGCTATTTATCTTTAATTCATATCAATTCTCATGTAAAATTTTCCTTATTTGACGTCTCATTTTCTCTTTTCTTCACATCACATATTCAAGTAGCCCATGCCAGAATGTGCATCCGTTTGGGGGGGTGCTGTACTCAGGGTGTCTGGGGGTGTGTGTGGGGGTGTCTGGGGGGTGTATGGGGGTGTCTAAGGGTGTCTGGGTTAGGGTGAGGGTTAGGGTTAGGGTGTTTGGGGGTGTCTATGGTTGTATAGGGGAGTCTGGAGGTCTCTGGGGGGTGTCTGGGTTAGGGTTAAGGTTAGGGTGTGTGGCGGGTGTATGGGGGTGTCTAGGGGTGTCTGAG